TCACTCCTAGGGAGAAAATGTGTTGGGACTGGAAAGGCAATGAAGAATGAGGACGAAAACTTGGAACACAACCCTTCAGGAGACACACGTGAAATGTGTGGGTTCAAAAAGGGAGATCCTCTGTCTACCATAAAAGGAACAAGAAAGAATGTCCCCTTGGCAAGAGATAGAAGCTACGACTGTCAAATAATTGAAATGAAACATGATTAGTCAAATCTGGACAAAATGAAAAGAGTGAACAAAAGCACATTGGACTGGATGAAGTGCCAGGGTGTGAAGACCTTTCACTTGGGGACCATAGTCCTGAAGCCTCCTACAGGTTGAACCCAACCAATGGAGATGAGCATCAGGGAAGAGAAACAATCCAGATGAGGAGAGGAAGTGGAAAACCCGACATTGTAGGGGATATGAAAATCTATCAACTCATATATAAAATATGTGTAATAGAGTAATGTGTAAAAATATCCACCCCAAACAGACAAGAAGGTGATGTAAAAAACAGGAAAAACACATCGAATTGGAAAATTCAACAACCCGAGCTGGCTGTGGAAGGAGTATATATGAGTATGTGTACTCTACCCCTGTGCGGAAGTATCTAACCAGCTATACATCCAATGAATAGTGTAGGTAAAATCACCCCAAAAAGTGGAAGTCGATAAAATGCAGATCCCCCCACAAAAGAAATATGGTAGTAGACATGTCAAAAGGACAAGGTATGAAACTGAGACCAAATCACGTGGTGAGATAACCTAAAAAGCATCCTAGACAATGGAAAATAAGAATGTAGGCATACCCCAACATGGAAAAATAGCAAAACCACAAGTGATCAAAGAATACATATGAAAACGGAGAAGACCCAAGAAGTGATTGAGGTGGGACCAGTCAATCCAGAACCCCAAATAGCATTGAGCAAACAAAAATGAATGGATAATACCCGTAGGTATAACAGGTAGAGGATGGAAAATTGATGCATATGTAAAATAATATAGATGACAATATCTCAGAATGGAACAAAAAAATTGAATATAGCATGGCAGATACCCCACATGATGCTAAATGTTCAGGGGAGCCCCTAAAAAATGGACCAGTGGGGAAACAAAATCAGTCTCTATTACCAGTGGACAGGAAACAAACAGCAATGTCCCACTCAAGAAGTTCCCAAAACGAAAGAAGGCATATGTGGATGGAAAGAACAGAAGATGGCAAACCCCAACATGGAGGGAAGGAGGAGGAGGTATCCCACAAAAATCCCTAAATATAGGTGGAACACCTAAGAAAAGAAGTGGAAGGTAAACATTACCCATAAGATAGTAGATAGGGTAAAATGAAACTGAAAAACTAGGTAGGGGATAAAATAGAACGAACTAACAGAAATCTGAAGGACATAAAACCAAAAAGAAAATGTGCCTGATGGTAAGTCAAAAAGAATTAAAGCCAGTATATGGAGGGGCTTGCAAGTATCCAATCTCAAAAGAGACAAAAAATTGTAAAGAAACAATGCCAGAAAAAGGGAATATATTGTGAAACATGTCTAAAACAAAAAAACTGCTGGTGAAACGTGGACAATCAATAAGGATATGGAGGAGAAGATCAATGCATTTCAAATGTGGATGTTCATAAAAATGCTGAGAATATCTTACAAAGACAGTCACCAATGAAGAAGCACTTAGAAAGATCAAAGTTAGAAGAATGTTACTTAATACATTAAAACAACAAAAGTGTAAATATTATGGTCATGTGGTCAGAGAGTAAGCAATACAGAGAACATTATTGGAGGGCAAGACCAATGGAAAGAGACAATGGGGGAGATCAAGAAGGAATTGGATGAAAGACATATGTGAATGGGTATAAATGGACAATGCAGGATGCTTCAGAGCGGCACAATATAATGTCTTATCTTTCCAAAGTCGGTGTATGGCAAAATGTGTGGGCCCCCAAACTCGAGGCAAGACCCGAGAAATATCAGCTCCTTGGATGATCAATCTCCAAACAAAGTAAAGCTGAAAATCTTCCCATGGAGTACCGTGACCTGAAGCCTGTGTAACTGTGCTAATATAACCTCCAAAGAGGTAATGTAGAATTCATAATGCAAAATGAATAACCAAACAGAACTGTGTTGGGGAAACAAAGAAAAAGTTTTTGTAATGACATGGTAAATTCTGTAACCGGATAGAAATATAAAATAATTCCACTTTAGAATAACTCAACAAGTTACAATTATCACTATTGTATAATAAAAAGTAAACTTGTTGAGAGAAATTAATACAAAGATATGAAAAAAAAAAACACTTGAAGAGAGCACAAACTAAATGTTAGGACACGAAAACTGCCAAACGAGAAGTGATAGTTCAGTAGAATTAAATAGAAGGAGTCACATGTGTCAAGAGAGTATGTCGCACACTTATTGGTGGAGGTTTATTGCATTATGATTTGCATGTGAGATGCATTGGAATCAGTCAATTCCAGATGTGGGAGATTTAAGACTTGTGGCATGCACAAATCATTTTTTTCATATAGAGGGCAGCACTGAACGAGAATAACTATTTATGTGAGAGGAGGTAATGTACCATATCACAAATGATGTTTTCTTGGATCACTTTTCTTTCTTGACTTTCAATTTTTTGTCAATGTTTTTCTGAATCTCCTTGATCTTCCTTCTTGCTTCTGTACCAACTTGTTCCTTGTCCAGAATGGCATTTATGAAGGTATGGTAGAGTCTCTTACCTACAATAAGTAGGAAAGCATAGCAGAAAACTGTGTAGGTATCCATCAGTTTTACAGTGCTCAGGCTTCCATCAAAGCAAGATAAATACCTCCACACAAAGTAGACAATGACAACTTTCAAATCTCGGCCAACTTCGGATGAAGACTTGGACACCATTTCTGATCATTATACCTCTGTGTGAATAATGCTTTTGACATAGCCCTAAAAATGTTCACAAAATGTTATTTCATCATTGTGGATGTGGTGACATAACTCATCATCAATGTCAATAAGCTAACTGATTTTCTTTAACTTGCTTCTATAGACCAAATTTTGATCCTCACATAACAGCACAACTGTCCATCAACACAGAAACTACTTTCTTCCATAGAATTTGTTTTGCCTCAAACATTTTAGAGTTACTCTATAAAATCAATTAAGCTTAAATGATGGATAATTTCATGCTGCTCTTCAGATCAGTAACTGACTAATACAATCAACCTATTTGTGGTTTGTACTCATCAATATTCAAAGAAAATAATGAAGTTCTGAAACCATCTCATAATCTAACTTCAAAGGTCTTGGCTAAACCTAACCTCGTCTTGTATGTTGCCACTGTGCATGACAGGTAGATTCTGTTCAGTGCATGCAGGTTCTTGGACAACTTTTTTGCCAGATTTACTATAACAGGTGCCATAGAAAATGTAAGAAAACTTTTGGCTACAACACCCAGAACCATGGCTTCTAGATTTGATATGCAATTATTAATATGTACTGCTGGAGATGGAACAGGACTAGCACACTCACCTTATTTAGCCAACCCACACAGTCTTTCTTAAAAACTTGGTGCTGGGGAGGTCACTGTTTGTGAGCCTTATGTGCAGTTCTTGCACATGCTTCTTCCCTCTTGCATGACCCTTCAAACATATGCATCCTCTTCCACTGGAGTTTAAATCTTTATATTTGCACCATATAAAAAGAACTTTTCCAGGCTGGCTTGTCAACAGTTAACATGGATCTTGCATAAATTATATGAAAAAGTAAAACATGTTCAAAATTTGCCAGCCCCCACTTCCCAAATTTAAGTTTAAATGGATGTACAAGAGGCAATGTATAATGATACCTATTAAAACAATTTCATGCAGTTATAGCTATTAAAAATGTAATATTAAAAAATTTGCTTTAGGCCATGACAAAAATTAAGCAAGCAAGGTTGCTTATAGTACATGACCCTCTACCTGTCACACTAACCTGGCCTATTCAGACCATAAAACTAGTGCTAAGCCTACACTGCAAAGTAACATGACCATTTTTATTTTATTTTTTACACTGGGCACCATCAGTTTAGGCCTTTCTAGCATTAATTCATGTTACCCAATATCTTGAGTGATACAGAGATACATAGACTAATTAGGCTTAAACCACTGGCATTAAGGCTAACTTTAGAAATTAAATGCACTCAATACACCTAGGCCTAGAGATTTATTCTAAACTTAAAGCATGATGTATTGCTAATACTAGTAATATGCTAGACAATATTGCATCTAGGCCTACAGTAGATCTAAATGAACTTCATAAGTACATAAAGTTGCTGACATTAGCAATTAATGATCTTCATTACCAGTAAAACCATAAAGAACCAACCATTTATTGTTACTAATGGGAAGAACTGGCAAAACTACAATCAATGCAATAAAGTAACCCCTCACTAAGGACTTAAGTCTAATGATAACTGCTGTCAACAGTGTTCACTACAGTAAACAAACAAGCTTGATCTCTAGAGATAATAACTTTAACTTTCACTAAACTCAAGAATACTAATTACTGCCCTCATTAATATTTAATGGTAGTAAATGATAACACACTTACCAACAGTCAAAACAATGAAACAACAACCTCCTTAACCAAAGTGGTCTCTAGGTAATAATTTGGAATAAGATTCAGAACAGTAAACACAATAAAGTAACTAAACACTTTGGTCTATAATAGTAAAACTGATACATTTCACCGTACTCAACATTGCACAATACCATCCACACTAAACAAACTTGTTTGCTCCCTAATGATAAGAAGTGTTGAGTATTATCTTCACTAACATGTTGATCAATTGCTATAACAATCACTAACTTTCTCCATCACCAAATTACCACTCTCACTAATCTAACAATTTCTATCAGGAAAAAAACACTGAGTTTTTATCCTCAAACTTAAGTTTCATGCACACAAGACATAAATCATCTCAAAATATAAAAAGGGAATCTACATCCAGGAAAATTGTCCTGCTAACCTTTCTTACCTAACATTTCTTGAGGCAGTTTATACGGTGAACAAACTTGCTGCTGTGAGAATGGAGTCTCAAATACAACTGGTTGTGACACAGAAATGACCCGATATGTATTTGTCTCAGGGATTTTTGGTGGCTCACAACTTCTAGGTGGCAGTAAAAAATCTTTATTTTCCTCAAGCTTGGTTTTATGTTTAATTTTATTACCAGACTTCCCACTTGAAACTAAAGCACTAGAAGGAATGTTAGTTTGTTCTTTATTGTGAATTTTAGCAGTGGAGTCTTTCACTTGGCAGGCTAAGTTTTTTATCTTTAACAATGAATCAAAGGGCTTGTTCTTTTCATCTGCTAGGGGGACACTTTTTTTTCTGGGCTTTTCAACAGGAGAGTAAACACGTGCATTAGGTTTTTCTGATGATGACATCATTGTAGCATGAAAGCCATAACTGGATGACTGTGAAGAATATCTAGTTGTTGCCACTACGCTATCATCTGATTGAGAACGTGATGGTCTTAGAGTATATAATAAGCCTTCACTTGTTGGACCTAGGTGTACATTAAAAAAACACAACTCATAAACATTACAATGAAGTAACTTATTATTTGTTCTAAAAACTTAAATTTGTAATCACTTTGAAACAAACAGTAAACTACTTCACAAACTAAAATAAGTTTATTTGCCATTCCAGTACTTTACTGAGCTAGCCAAAATAGAACAAATTAGAAAAAGAAGAAGAATCAGAAATAATGTTAGCAACTAATTAAAAATTGAGAAAACATTCACAAAAATCTTAATGGTTAAACTTTTTAAATTTTTTTAATATAGAAAAATTTTAATTATTCATCATAGTAATTAAAGATTTGAAAATGTGTTAAACTTTAGTCAACTGTTAAACCAGGCTTCACAAAAATTCTAGTGTATTATCCTACACAGATATCAATTGATTACATAAACATTCTTCTTCTAAGTTCTTTATCCCAACAAGTTCGATAATAATAATTATTTGTAGATAATTAAGTACTATAACACAAACATCGGTGTATTTACATTCCAAGTTGATTACACAAACTTATAGAAATTATTTCACAGTTTTACTCATTAATTGTTAATATATATGCATATATAAAGCCCCAGGCTACTAATGCAAACTCATCTCAATACACTCAACAAATACTTCTGTTGAAACTAAAACAAAAGACCTACTAATGCAGTAAAAGTTTCTGTCTATCATTAACATTTTACATTCAATGACAATTCAGTAAATGATGTGTGATATTTTTAGGTAAAAATTGCTGATCTCCTAACAAGTATCAACTAGAAGGATCTTCTAATAACTACAGATTCATTCAGGAAGTAAGAAGAGTGGATTGATTCTGACAAGATAGCTTAACTGAGTCCTCTTAGTGTGTGTGTGTAAAATAATACATTTGTCAAAAAATAAAAAAATATTCTCCAACAAGTGAAAAAAAAAAGCAGCAAAATATTTGCGCACATGGAAATACAATTGCTTCTACTAGATTGCACTTAGTTCCCCATATTTCTTTCACCCAAGATTGATCTCTAGAATTAAGCACAATGATCTTGCTGTAAGTTTTACTCCATGATCTCCTAGTAGTATTGAACCAAGAAATTATGCCTGAATTCAACAGGTAAACTCAGTTTCTTTGTTCAGTCAACAGTGCCACCTCATCAACTTTTTCTCTCATGGCATTGGTTGGCTGTTACATTTAGATAATGTTAACTCAGCCAACAAAGGATATTACAGTGCTAATCCTCTCAACTTAAATTACATACAATACTGCAATATTTTCTAGGGCAGAACAGACAGTATGAACTAGAGAGAACAAAGCATCTAGAACAAGGCAATCTCAATGACTTTTTGGAACACATGTTTATGTTAAAATTAGATACAAGCTAAATAAAGGAAAAATCTAAAAACTTCCTATATATCAAAAGCAGGTATAAAACATGACATGCCTACATATCACAGGTTATTCACCTGTTTTCTCACTACAAACTATGACTGTCTTTTAGCAATACACAACCATACTGACTCTACAAAGACTTTATAAACTACAAATGCCAAGAAACATTCTACAGTCAATTACTACAATATTCTGTAAGAATACACAGGGTAACCAAACTACAAAATAATACATACACTTCTGTGCACATTTTCTATTACCAACTACTTCCACATCTTGAAGAACAAAATAACATATATACATACCCACACACACATGCATATTTCTACACATCATCCTCTGTTCAGCAATACATATATTTTACATTCATACATAAAATGAAGTACCAACAATTTGACATATGTTTGTAAAACATAAAATGTATATCAAATAAAGCACATTACACTGTCTATTTACAACAGATGCATCACTAGGTACTTAAAAGATTTGGGGCTTGGGCCCAGAACTTGCAGAAATTTTCATCATTTCAGTATGATATTGATTATGGCTTTCTATTCTGATTTTTCAAGAGCACCAAATGGATTTAGGACACTGTAAAATAGAATCAGGGCATAGGCCCCATTTGCCAGTTCCTAGCAATGCCTCTGAATTTCAGTTTTGCTGAAATGAAATTTTACAATGAATAAAAAAATTCAAGAAAGTATAGAAATTCTGAAGTCTAAAAATAATGTTATCAACAATCATATGAAACCAGTTAATCTACACTATTATTAGTGCTTTTTTATAACAGTGATAATTGATCTACCCCAAATTAATAAAGTGTGCACAGATCATTTACCCTAACACATGAAAGGAACATAATGAGAAAAAAAGACTGAGAAAAGGAAGATAAGATTGTTAAGTTTCAAGTTTACTAATCTTCTGATGACTGGATGACCTAATTGAAACATGTAAAAAATATTCAGATATGATCATTTTATTTTATTCATGTTTCATTAAATCATTATAGTAAATCACACACTTTTGCATTAAATAGGTTGTTATCAACTTAAACATGAATGTTTCTTTCAATACAAAATTGTATCAACAAATGCATTTTAACAATCATTATACACATTTCTTTATAGAACCTAAAATTTACAATGACTAGACCACACCACGAAATCTTGTATTTGTGCACTGTTTTTAACTATTACAAATACAAATTCATAAAATGCAAAATATACATCAACTAAATTTGAAAGACAATTTTTGAAATGTGTAAACAGAATATATTATTATGCATATACTGACATTTTCCAATGGATACAAATAATTTTCAATAAAACTGTTATGATAGTCATAAAGTAATAAATCTTCTCACCTTTATGTCTCACTTCACCAAATTCAGAATTAGCTTCCAACAAAATTTTGTTGGCTAAGGTACTATGCACATATATACCTATCTAAAAATTAATTAATTAATTTAACTCTCTGACTAAGATGAATAAAATGAAGTAAATTGAGAATAGCATTGTTAACTAGTATTGGGAATTGGTTGAAATATGATTATGCTCAGATAACATTATTTTTCAGTAAGTAGAAATAAAAATATTGCAAATTCTGTTTGTTTTGAACTTTTTCTATCTCTGTATATTTTACTGTCCAGGATAAATCTGTAGCAAAGAAAAACACAAAAACATCATGGCTTAAAACTTTGTCATCTTAGTATCATTGATTTTCATTTTGCACAATGTAATTTTCAACCAAGAAGCTCATCCTTGTTTTGTTTCACACAGAATAAATTCTGAGAATTGTCTCAGTCCTTTAATTTATGTAACAAAAGCTTAGATTGGCTGGATTTGGTGACTGTTAACCAATGGGAATACCCATCTTAGTTATGTTAGACTTACTACATAAACATCTGCAATAACACTGGTAAACATGAATATAAAAATGACATATCCTCCAAAAATAATGCTGCAATCAGTTATAATCAATCATAGAAAAATTACAATGAAATGCTTTGTTATTTGACTCCATTTACCAATCTTAAACTTCAGAATTTATAATTAAACATCACTCCAGTAGTGTTAACACCGATGATAACATAAGTTAATACTTTCAGTGCTAAAAGTGTTACAAACAATGTATATATGAAATAATAAACTAAGAATTGAAGTATTCTCAATGATCTGATATGGGTAACATATTCAGAGTTCAAGGTATTAGTAATGTGAATATAAACTGACATGAAGAAAATAGATTAATAAATAAAGTTGTTTATAAAGATATAGTTATAAGGTAAGATAAATTAACTGAAAGTAATATTTCCCATTGAATATTTCACTGTTTAGACAAAATGATTTTCTCTTTTAAGTTAAATTATTGCATATATTTGTAAGCATGGTAACAAACTACACAAACTGGCAAACTGCCAGGCTTGTGGGTTGGTCTCCTCAGCTGTTTCTGTTCTATCTTAGTTGTTCTATTTACAAAAACACACTCAAGGGAGTGGTTCACCAAGTTCAGTATAAAAGGTCACATGCACATTTTACCATAGATTAACATAACATTCAACACTCAGTAATTAGATACTAACTCTTATATGAATAAATAAATAACACATGCAGCTTACTTACTTCAGTATTATGCATTACTTATATCAATCCCAAAACTTCCATAATTTTATTACCAACTGTTGATAAAACATTTCTTAAAAGCTTCAGTAGTGTATAAATGCAACTATATAGTTTTCACTAATAATTACCAAAAACTTAATTTTATTTTTATTTTCAGTAACCTATATTATAATCTAACTTTAAAACTTCATATTTTACCTGTTATACAATTTAAGTTAAAAATTTATACTATTAAAAACTGATCACACTTTACTACTATTCACTTTCAGTAGTTTATAACACAAATCATAACCTTCACAATTAAATATTAACCAAACATATGTTTTTCTTTGTTGTTGTTTTTTATCACAGAATCCTAAAAATGATCAGTAAAGTGTCTGTGATAAAGTAGCATCTCATATGTAGAATCTATAATTCTGAAACGAACTATTGGATTAATTTCTCTCTCTATCTTAAAAATCTACTAAACAGTCTCAAATTTATAACCATTAATAAATACTGAACAAAATTATCTAACTTTCCTCCTCCTTGGTAGTCTGTTACACAACCTAAATTTATACTGACTAGTAAGTATCATTCAGAAGAAACTTTGATTTTTATTTTCAGTAGATTATTATATAATCTAAATTTATAATCTTCACTATAAAATACTGATTTGCTTCTTTAACCTATTACGTAGTGCAACATTACTGTAAAACTGATAATACCGGACTGTTATTACTAAGCTTCAGATAAATATTGTAAAATTAAGTTTCATTTAGCTGTTGTACAACCTAATTTTACAAAATTCACTAGTGACTAATGATATAATGTAATTATTTCTTCTAAGCCATAAATAACTACTATACAACAGTTTCACAAAACTGACTATTTAAAAACCTGACTACTAAGCCTCAAATATTGTGCAACACAGTTTTACAAATTTACTATTCAACAGTGAAGAAACTTGTATATTTCTACTGAGACATAAATATTATTTCTTCTAAGCCACAAATATTTATTGCACAGCAAAGTTTAACAAAATTACCAATTTTTCATTTTCAAAACTTTAATTTTACTGCTATGCCTCAACTGTTGTATAACCTAATTTAAAAAAATTAACTATAGCACATTTGTAAAACCAAGTTGTTAGTAATAAAAAATTAAGCCTCAGTTGTTGGGTAATCTACTTTCACAAAATTGACAATATAACACTGTTAAAACTACATTGTTAGTGCTAAACCTTAGCTGTTGTATAAGCTAATTTTACAGCTTGCATTGTTGAACAATTATAAACCTGACTGTCTGTAGCTGGATAACCAGAATCCCTTATGGTCACAATTTTTCAAGATATCTATCATAGCAACTAAAGCAATGAAACCTACAAAATAATTACAAATAAACTACTTTTAACACATATGGATTCAGCAAAGACACTTCTCTCCCTCATCTAAATGAGACACAGGCTGGCTGCCAAGTGGGCCAACTGCCAACACCCTGTGAGAATGTGAGTCATATACACCAGGATGAACACCCCACAGCATAGGCTTCTATAAAATATACATACAATCACACAAAAATAAGCTAAGTTATCAGCAATATGTGAATGTAATAAGTTAAAAAAATATTTTAAAATATTCAGAAAATAACATGTGTTACTTTAATGAGGCATAAAGAATTCAGCAAACACTTTTGTTGTTTTTAATATTTCAGTATAAAACATGTTGTTTATGTTTTTACATTTCTGTGAGGACTGATTCCTACAGAACAACAATGATGGTCAATGTATGTATTATTTAGTTATCAATAAAACATAACATAAAATAACTAATATTTTCTTGTGGCAATGACCAATATGCCAGGATTAATTAAAAATACAAATTAAAGGTAAAACATGCAAAACCATCAAAAAACAAAATAATTAAAAACACATAAATATATAAAGTGATGACCTGCAAAACCATGTTGAAACAAAGGAACACTAATAAAAATGTATTTGAAACCATGGTATAAGGAGGCTATTACAGATACATGCTAAATTCTCAAGTTAAGATAAGATAAAAAAACTTATTTGAAAATAAGTATTAAATGTCTCAAAATTATGATACATAAAAACTGTTAAATGTCCTCAGTGATACTAAAATTAAAGTTTTAAGGCAATGGTAAAAACCATGTCAAAATATATTTACTAATTAACTGTTACATGCTTCAACAAATTAGTCAAAAGCTCAGTAAAATAAGAGGGTATAAATTAAATGATACATGTCTTAAGACATGGTATTTGAAAGTATGTTGAAATGAGAAAATTAAAAACGAAAGACAAGCATTCACTAAACATAGTGAAAGAAAATATTAAAAACAAAAGATATGTGCTTCAAACCATATCATTATTAATATATGATGAAAATAGAAAATGAAAAATAAAAGATAAGTATTCCAAACTATAGTATTCATTAAACATGGTGATAAGAGAAAATGAAAAACAAAAGATAAGTGGTTCAAGCCATGGTGTTCAGCAAACATGATGATAATATTTAAAACAAATGATAAGTGCTTCAAGCCATAGTGTTCATCAAACATGGTGATAAGATAATATTTAAAACAAAAGAAACATGATCCAGGCCACAGCATTTAAAACAGTGCTAAAAGTAGATCCTTATAATGCTTGAAGAAATGACATTCAAAACACTGACAGAAAGAGACGATAAATTATAGATACTTCTAGGAATAATATCAAAAAGCTATAGAAGAAGAGAAAACACCATAAAATATAAATACTTAAAACAATCAAAATGCTAAGAAACCAAGAGAGAGAGAGTTAAAATAATGACAATGAAAACCTGGAATAAAACAATTTGAAAATAATTAATAAAAAATAAATAATGACAATGAAAAATTCCATTTACTAGAAAGGGAAACCTATCAGACAAAATTAAGCTAATGACACTAATGCTGAAACCGATTAAGAAAAAAAATCTACCTGTTCTGTTTTCCTCAAAATCCTCTGCTTTTATAAGTCCTATGACTGGCACTAATGAAGCATGGTTAAGCTTAGTTACAAACAGCTGACGATTGTTATATCTTCCAGTTCCAGTACCAACTGGATTGTCCTAATTTGAGGAAGACAAACAATTTCAGCTGAGAGAGAGGAACATACATACAAAAGAACACAGTAATGTGTCAACTTTATAATAAAGAAAACTTAAAGTGAAAACTACCTTGAAAAAAATAGTGTATTTTAACACTATTAGCATGAACAAAAATATTGTACAGACACAAGTTATTTGCATATTCTTTCAGAAAGTCTCTCTCTTGCAGTTTTAATGGGAAAAAGATACAAAGGCATTAAGATAGTCACAATAAGACAAATATATTTCTTTTAAACATAATCTTATGTTTTTCTTTATATTCTTCTAATACAAGAAATAAAATAATCCATACAAGATTTTTTTTGCATAAACTTCTACTGCAGTTCTATTTGTTCAACTTTATAAGAAGTTCAAACTACAAATCCTGATGTTATATATTGCTTTACATATCAGGTATGTCACCACATGCCTCCTTTGAAATATATTTTTTATAATGAATGATACAAATGTGGAAATGTCATCAATGGGTAGAATCACACATAACTGACTGTGTCCTTGATTTATCAGTACAAATTCTAAAAAAGAATACAAGATTAATCTCTGAAAATTTTGTTTATATACCTACGCAATGATAGTTTCATTTAACTTATTAATGTTTTGAAAGATTTTATGATTTACTTCCTATCTTTCTACTAACATTTCTATTTCCAAAAATAACATCAGTTTCTCATCATACTTTGGAAGGATTATATAGTTGCTTATAACGGTCTCACAATTACTTACAATTCATAAGTAAACAACACTATCAGTAGTCACGTGGTCTTTCTTAGCACATCTCTTCAGCATACTCTTTAAGACTTCTCTGACTCTCACAAAGTCCATTACATCTGGGGTTTTACAGGGTGGTAATCAGCTGCTGATGAGTCTGAACACCTCTTGCACCAGTTCTGAGGTAAACTGGGTCCCTCTGTCACTCAAAACTTCTTCTGAAAAACACTTCCAGGAGGGCTTCTGCTACTCTCTCCACCTCTATCTTTGGCAGTGCTATGTTTTCTGGGTAATGTGTTGCACAGTTGACTACTATCAGAATGTACTCATTGCTCTTGTTGGATACAGGTGCTAATAGTCTGATCAAGTCCACAGTTACTCTGCTTAACAGCTCTTCTATGAGAGGCATTACCTCCAGTGGCACTTTGGTCATTCCCTCTGTGTACTGTCCTTTGGCAGATGTCACATGACCTGCAGAATCTGGTCACAACTGTGATAACCCCTGACTAATAGAATTTGCTAGTGATTCTGTCTGCCATTTTCTGTGCTCCTAGGTGTCCTCCCATAATTAACTCATGAGGTAACTTCATCACGTGAATCAGGTATTCTGTCGGTACTATGATCTGTTTAACTTTTCTGGTAGAACCACCTTGATATATCTGGTATAGCACTCCCTTCTGGTCCTCTATTCTGTAGGTCCCTTTTCCCTTGGTCTTGTGCTTGAATGTCTCCTGATTATCCCAAAGTTTCTACAGTGAAGAGTCTTTCTTCCATGCTTCCTTCAGTTTCTGTAGACCTACATTTGGGATGTCACCCTTCAAGACTTGCAGGAGCTTGATGTCTTGCTTGCTTTTCTTTTCTTGAGCTCATCAGTCTGTGTGGTTCCTTCATACATATGGCCTCAAGGTCTCCCACGTAGTATGGAGTGTGCACCTTTATTCTTGCTATTGGAAACTTTCTCACTGCACCATCAATCAGCACACATAGATATATCTTGCCCATCATATGGTCATCAG